GGGCCTCTGGATCGATCTTGTTCGGACAAGTATGACTCTTGGCGATGAGCCTTGGCTAGTGGCTGGTGACTTCAACGCCATTCGGGACCACTCGGATAGAATGGGCAGCTCCAATGCTTGGATCCCAGTTTTTGATGAACTTGCATTGTGTTTAGATCAAGCTGGATTGGATGATCTTAGATATGTTGGCCATCGCTTTACTTGGTCGACATCTTGGTGCATCCTGTAAAAGAGAAAGATTGATAGAGTTCTTGTCAATGATAAGTGGAGTAGCACCTTCTCCTATTCGGAGGCTTCCTTTTTGGCTCCGGGAGTGTCCGATCACACTCCAATGATCGTTCGGATTATGATTCCATCTCCGTCCGGGAAGCCCTTCAAGTTTTTTAATTATTGGGTGTCTCACCCTTCCTTTCGATCTATTGTTTCGAGACATGGGAATCCGGATCTTGGAACTCCTATGTTCATCTTGTGCCGCAAGCTGAAGACACTCAAAGTAAGACTCAAACAGCTTAATAAGGACTCGTTTTCGGATATTTCGGGCCGCACTACATAGGCAAGAGTGGCTTTGTACGTAACTCAAGATGCTCACGGTTATTGACCCGTTAAACCTGTCCCTATTGAGTTGGAGAAGGATCAGCCCGGGGAATTCACGGCCCTTAGGCTCCGGGAGGAATCGTTCTTTAAACAAAAATCCAGGATCAAATGGCTGAAGGAAGGTAATAGGAATACCAAGTATTTCCACCATTATGTCAACAGAAGACATATCCTTAACCGTATAATCTCGGTTTCGGATGACAATGGAGCTACCCTACGATCCGACTCTTGTCCTGATCATATTGTTAATCACTTCTAGGATTTACTTGCTCCCGACTCTTCGTGTGAGCTGCCTTCTTCCTTGGATATCCAGGAAGTGATTGGTCGGTCAGCTCACTAAGGACCAGTACGGTTTCTTACCCAAGGAGTCTTTGAATTGGAAATCAAAAACACATTCTTCTCCCTTCCTAAGGGCAAAGCCCCGGGACCATATGGGTTTAATGTGGAATTCTTTCTAGAATCCTGGGAAATAGTTGGACCTTCGGTCATATTGGCGATTAATGATTTTTTCATTTCTGGCTCCCTTCTTAAGGAGACCAATGCCACCATCCTTACACTGGTGCCTAAGGTTCCCAATGCTTCGGCCTTGAATGACTTTAGGCCTATTGCTTGTTGCAATACGATTTACAAGTGCATTACCAAGATACTGGCTAACAGAATTGCATCGGTTTTGCCTTCGATAATTAGCCCTCCGCAGAATGCGTTCGTTAAAAAACGGAGAATAGGGGACAACATACTTATTGCCCAAGAGTTGTTTGCCGGATTCCATCACCAACCTTATTCGCCCAAGTGTGCTATCAAGGTAGATTTTCAAAAGGCATACGATACTGTTGACTGGGATTTCTTGCAGCGAACCTTACAAACATTTGGATTTCCCAGAGTGTTTATCAAGCTCTAATGAGTGTGTAACCACCCGAAGTTCTCGGTTGCCATCAATGGGACTCTGATGGTTTCTTCTCTAGTGGTAGAGGCATACGCCAAGGGACCCATATCTCCTTACTTATTTACACTAGTCATGGGAGTATTCTTGGCATTCTCAATGCTCAAACTCGGCTCCCAGGCTTCAAATTTTTACGGCGGTGTAAGGCAACCAGGACTTACGCATTTATTTTTGCCGATGATGTCCTCTTGTTCGCGGAAGCAAACTTGGTATCGGCCCCGCCACCGAAGGACGCCCTTGGCCGGTTCTCTCGGTGGTCGGGTCCCGGCCCGATGTCAACAAGAGCGAAATCTTCTTCTCGGGAGGACACCCCAATTGCGGGACCAAATCTGCAATCTTTCGGTTACCACAAAGGTACATTACCTTTTCGATATCTTGGTGTTCCTATATGCGCCTCTAGGTTGAGTAAGGCCGATTGTACATTACTTGTCAATTCCATTACGGCTCGCGCTCGATCCTGGGCCCATCGGTTTCTCTCTTTTGCGGGACGCCTGGTGATTAAATGTTCTCAACACCATACATGTTTTTTGGGCTTCCATTTTCACTCTCCCCGTTCGGTCATAGCGAGGATAGGGCTGATTCTCGGACAGTTCCTTTGGAAAGGTCCTGATTTAGGGGTTGGTGGGGCCAAGGTATCCTGGAGTCGGGTATGCCTTCCCAAGCAAGAAGGCGGATTGGGCATTCGTAGACTCATTGATTGCAATCAAGCGGCTATGCTCAAACATATTTGGATCCTCTTCACGGACAAAGAATCCCTATGGTGTAAACGGATTCACTCAAATTTCCTCAAATCAAAGAATTTATGGGTTGTGTCCAAGACAGACATTACGCTCCACGGACGTGGAAAAAGATATTGGATTTACGCCGGACATTCCAATCGCAATTCAAATGGTGAATAGGTAATGGCAAGACCGCTTCTTTCTGGTTTGATTCTTGGCATCCAAAAGGCCCACTTCATTTGATCTTCTCGGATAGGGATATTTTCTATTCGGGTATCCCACGTTCGGCCTCGGTTTGTGAGTTCCTTTCTTCGGATTGGCACCATTCGAATGTATTGCAATCATTCAACTCTTGGGCATCTCTCTCCCAATACTTATCTTGATACACGGACCACTTTGTCGGCTCGAACATTCGTCTGGTATTTTCTCTATTACCTCGGCTTGGGAATTGGTTCGGGCAAGAGGACAAGCGATTTTTCAGGACACCTTCATGCGGGATTGTCATATTGTACCGCGCCATGGTTTTTGATGTGGTTGATGACCCTTAATAGGCTTCCCACGCAAGTATTCCTTCGAACTATCATAGAATATCCGAAGGTCTATCGTCTTCTGTCGCATTGGACCCGATTCGGTCGACCATCTGTTCTTTGGATGCAATGTTACGGGCTCCCTAGCGCAATATTGGGATTCTAATTGTCATCTTTCATGGCGTAATGGGTCCTGGAAAGAGAACCTCCGATGGGGTATGCGTTTCATTGGTGGAGATAGCTTTTATCACCGTATCTCTCGATTTGCTCTTGGGGCATTGTGCCATCTCATTTGGGTTGAACGGAATAATATCCTTTTCAGAAATAGCACCCTTTTTATGCCTGCTCTCCGCAATCATCTTGCCAAGGTAGTTAGAGACAAAGGCCTTTCTCTCAAGCCGGTTCAAGACAATCCTCGGAACAGAACGATTCAAGCCAGTTGGGGCATATTTGATTCTATATTCAGCTGACCCTCTTTTGTAGTCTTTGTTGGTTTATGTTGGCTGCCGGGTAGCCTTCTACGTATAGCGCTTCTTGTGCTTCCTTTGTTTGCCGCATGACACCTTTCTAGCTGTCGGGACACCTTTGTCTCTTCGGGTACGAGGTTTTTGTGTTCGGCCTCACTTGCTTTGTAAAATGCGCGTTGAAAAGTTATATACTACTTGCTTTAACCAAAAAAAAAATGTTTGCTAAATGAATAACATATGACATATAAGGCCTACATGATTGATGATATATTAAGACTTCGTTTATTTCTCGGAAAATGTGACATTTATGGAAAACGACAATATTTTTTGGTATTTCGCTGAAACCTGAAAATGAACTGGAAAATATTTTTCATTGTTTGGTAAGGAAAATTTGATTTGATTTTCTAAATAGACACAAATTATCGGGTGCTAGTGACTTGCATAGGCGGTGAAGAGCGGCTATGAGCACTTGGGTTTCGAGTCCGACCTCGATGAACTTCGAGCTCGGGTGCCGGGACTCGAGCCTAGCCTCGATAAACCCGGGCTCTAAGGTCTTGATCCGGCCTCATTGGACCGAGCACAAGAGTTGGGGGCTTGGGCTTGGGGACTATGGTCTGGTCTCAACCTCAATGGACAAGGATCCAGCCTCGATGGACTTGGTTGCGGACACTTGGGGTCTCAAGCCTAGCTTTGATTGACTTGGGCGGGCGCCGGCATCTAAAACTTAGCCTAGATGGAATTGACTGGGCCCGAGACTAGGGACTTGGGTCGGGATGTCGATCTCAAGTCAGAGTGCCGGGGTCCCAGGGCGTGGGCTGCGAGGTCCCGGACCCATACTCGTGGATACGGGAATGGGGCATCGGGGACCCAAGCCCGGCCTTGATGGACTTGAGCCGGGTGTGACCTCGATGGACACCGGCCCGGGCGCGGCCTCCATGGATGAGGGCCTAGGTGCTAGGGACCCGGACACTAGCAGGGGTCATGAATGCAGGTTTGGGCGTTAGGTCTTGGGCCCGGCGCGTGGACTTGAGCGACCTCAATGGACCCGAGCTCGGGTGTTAGAGATTCGGGCATGAGCATCGTGGTTCGGTGTATATCAAAGTGTTTTTCGATTATTAACTTAAACCAAAGGACGATATAGAAATATAGCACTATTGTTCATAATTATCAACATTTCAACCTTTTTGATGGTTTAGTGGACGAGCTGCAACTTCAACCGTCGTAGTCCAACGAGTACGAAATAACCTCGCGCTGTCTGGATATTGCGGCACCGTTTTGACCGAAACTCGATCCCACCGTTTCAAATTGCATTGTTTCGTCGTTGGTCAAAGCTGACCGGTTTTCTTTGTCGCTATATATTCATTTTCTTTCCAATTTTTTCTCCAATATAAAATATTCGACATATTTAGCATAATAATGAAGATAATCACAACAAATATTATTATCAATTACGTATATCAGCCACAACACAAAGCACGGAATAGCACGTGCTTCTCCGGCGAATTTTATGGAGCTCGTACAACGAACATCAATAGACTTCAATTACAACAATTTCAATGTCTTACGGCTTAGAGCCACCCCGAAAGCTAATAATAACACGTAAGATTATAGGCTCTCTCCAACGGCCACACCTTTGTAGTAATGCATCCCTAATCAAGGGGCACGGGTTCGAATAAAGCCGTAACAAGATGGTCCTTGGTTTCGTTATCGGGAAGGCCGTGTCCGTGTCCATATTGGTAAGCTCGTGCCAAGTTCAAACAAGCGCCGAGAAAAGGCGCGAACCCAGAAAATGGGTACTCCAGGTCTCGTGCACCAAATGCCACACGTGTTCCCGCGTGGCCTCTTCCGAAGCGCCGGTTTCATTTATGTAGCATTCGAGCACCTTGAAGTTGTCTCCTCGTGCCAATTCATACTGTGCATGGACGACATTGATGTTTTACAAACATAAGTCTCAAGAATAGCACGTCATTCTGAACACATCGATGATGTACTTTCTCTTCATAAGCGATTAATTACAAGAAGGATAAACGAAAAAGTAAGTTACCGATGAGGTACTGAGATCATTGTTGAGTCGAAGGATCTTGGCAGAACAATGCATGACACTCGGGATTTTCGACACGTAATCAAGTCCCTCTTCGGTCAATTTTTCCGTGGTTAGGAAATAGCTGCCCAACAGCATAATGAGCCCTCCGATTGAATCCACCGCATTGTCCATGTACTCCTTCAGTGTCGGTTTAATCCCCTTGTTGTACCAATTGACCTCCTTTATGTAGGCCTTGCATTCATCCGCCCACTGTAGGATTAAAATTCGAAAAGTGAGTTTCATTACGAAAGTTAGAAGTAGAAAAGCGAGTTGCCCTCCACGGGCTAGAAATTATCAGGCGAAAGATTTAGCAAATCGAGATTACCACTTTTCGCATGTAAGGAATGGTGTTGATCCCTAGCTCTCTCATCATCCAATACCCAATTTCGTTGGTTGTATTGTACAAGGCCATGAAACTATCCCTTATTGTTGGAGGAAGCTTATCGATGTCTGTGATGTCCCACCTAAATAAGATATCACCATTTCAACATTTTGTAAATTTTATCATCACTCGATACGTTTTTAGTGATAACAATGAAGGTTAAGTGCTTACTATTACTTTATTTGCCCAAACCAATCAATTAATTAGAGGGAAAAAAAAGCTACTTTAAAAAGTGATATTTTCAAAATACATCGGAGAATTTATATCATATAATTTTCAGGATTTGTTTTATCCCTCGCGTCATTCAAAGACTAATTAATCGCCTACCATTTCTCTTGGCAATAATAGTTACAAAAGAAAATGATGATGGTAATCATATTACACTAACCTGACAATGAAATCTGTTAAGAGTTCAAGTTCTTCCAGCGTCCCATATACATCATAAACGTCATCAATAAGTGTCACCATACAAAGGAGCTTCGTCGTCATTTCCTGTAAGCTGAATATTGAGGTTCGAAAACCGGTCAGCAGCACCAAAAATAGTGTTCCACTAGCTTTGTCTCTAAAGAAGGTCATCTTGTTCGCGCCAAGTTCAACCCACCACCTGAAAAATTTGCCATACAATGACTAAGTCGATCCGAATGCGCTCCTATATGTTTGGTATTTGCATGAATTTGTATCCTCCCGTCAAATGCATCTATCAACTATATGTAGAGTGCTTACGCATACCTTGCCATATTGCTAACTTCCTTCTTGTGGACTGATTGCACTAAATTGAAGTCTATTTTAGCCAATCGTAGTAAAGAGGGGATCATATCACCCTGTTTCTCGTACATGTCCATGAACCACCGAGCCTCCAACCTGTTTGGCCTCCAGTGGATCGGCATATCTAATGCATGACTCATGTGGCTCGCTAATATAGCGGGAACTTCGTCGAGGTTTAGATCCTTCAGATGCTTGGAAGCAAAGTTCCTAGCTTCATCAAGTATGGTTTCACCTTCCAATCCATGAAAAGAAGCTTCATAAAGACCAAGAAGCCCCTTCACATCCTTATTGAGCGAGTCGTTGAACGTGCCCATCTTGTTCATAGACCTTTGAAACACATCTATACGTCCAACAAAAGGAACGGTAAGGTAACTTTTGATACATCAACATGATTCACGAAAGGGTAATAGGTGGCGACTACCTTGTTGTACGTTGTATCTGATGTAGCTAGCAAGGATCACCTAGAGGGGGTGAATAGGTGATCTTAACTAATTTTTAATAATTTATGCGGAAACAAAATAAATCACAGAAGAGTCTGAATAAAATTCAGATTCAAGACAGATTATATAGACGGTGCTCTTGATGTGCAGAATGTAAAGTAAGAGATAAGGAATAGAGAATCTGCACACAAGTTTATAGTGGTTCGGCTTATAGCAAGCCTACGTCCACTCTCCCATGCTTACGGCCCTACCATTTGGATTTCACTATGTAATCAAGAGGAATTACAACTTACGAGTGTTAACACTCTTGTGTATGATAGGACTCTCTATCTCACACAATCACTCTTACAAAGTGTCCCTCAAGATCTTAATGTTTTGCTCAGAACGACAAGAGAAATGATTGGAGTATGCTCAGACTTTGGACTTGTTGATTCTTGATTCTGTGTACCTTCTGCTGCTCGTTGATCTCCTTAAATACTCCTCTACTAGCCGTTGGACAGCTTTCAGAGGATCATCTTCCAATCTTTACTTTGGACAGATTTGTATAATAAGGATTGAGTAGCCGTTGGATGACAGATTTTGAATCCCGCTGATTATGGTCGCCCATACAATCAGAATCTTGGTTTCCATAAGTAGAGCTTTGTCCGTTGTAATGCATTCTTGTCATGATGTTTGATTGTCAATCGGTTTGATTGAGATTGAGACAATCGAGAACATTCCTTGTGAAATCCATGCCGGATCACTATTTGTTGTGTTTAGTTACAGATTCTACGTGCGAAGAAATTGCAACGTGCGCGTCTCGCATCGAATAACCACGCTGCATCTGCATCGAATAACCACGCTCAGCATACGCATCGAATAACTTGCGTCGAGATCTCGGAACCTAGATTATGTGGGTCTTCAAAAACATACTTGACAGTTTGTAAAGTCTGAATAATTTCCTTTTGAGTTTCCAGAACATAAATACCTGGAATAAATTAGTTCAGAATAAGTATCAAACTTATAATTATGTGGAAGGTTTTGTCAACTTCAAAATTAATAGGAGTTTTCCTCAACAATCTCCCCCTTTTTGATGGTGACAAAACTTTCCTGCAGATTGAATTATTTTGAAATTGATATGAAATTAAATAAACATATTAAGCTCATGAAGCACAGATTGAAAGAGCAAACTCTGTTGATATCTGTATCTTTTTTTCTTCCTTTGTAAATGGCAAAAGGACACTATAAGTGCCATAACTTGTGTACGAAGATCACTTTGGTGCCATAACTTTTTTTCGAATCACTTTGGTGCCAAGTCGGAGGAAAAACGATCACTTAAGTGTCATAAGTTTTTTTGGATCACTTCGATTGCTAAAATTTTTTAAAAACGATCACTTAAGTGCTAAAATTTTTTTAAAACGATCATTTAAGTGCTAACATTTTTTAAAAACGATCACTTAAGTGCCAATCTCCGGCGAGCCACGTCAGCTTCAGAAATTAATAAAAAAAATGTCACGTCGGATTTCCGGTGAAAAATTGTGTACGGCACCGGAGTTGGCACTTAAGTGATCGTTTTTCAAAATTTTAGCACTTAAGTGATCGTTTTCAAAATTTTAGCACTAAAGTGATCCAAAAAAAAGCTTATGGCACCAAAGTGAGCACCGTACACAAGTTATGGCACTTGTAGTGTTCTTTTGCCCTTTGTAAATAACATGCAAATCTGCACATAATTTCTCCCCCTTTTTGTCATCGGCAAAAGATAATAATAGAGAGAATAAGTCACCGAGATTAAGTAATCAAACCAGTCTAACAATAATTGTGAGATATATTACGAGACCAACAAAAAAATGAATTTGGAGAGAAATGTTGAAAAACAGGCTATTTTTTAGGAGTACGAATCGGTTGAAAATTGTCCAATATTGAGACGACCTCCTCAATCTTGAATGCATTGACCTATGGCCTTATCCATGTTGGATGAGCACATAGTAATGGCTTCCTCTAATCTTTGCTTTATCTCTTCTTGCTGAAGTTGTTGAGCCTTGTTGTTTTCCTCAACAATTTTATGTAGATTCTGCATATTTTGTTCTAGAGCGACTTGCTTGTCTTTAATCTCGAAGCGAGAATAGAAAGAATGTTCGATTTTCGGATGGCGACCTTGGACATTAGCTTCCTCGGGCGATTGTACCACATGGGCGATTACGGTGGAATCTCCCCCGAAGAGGTGCTTGATCTTGAAACATGTTCTTCATGAATTGATTACGAAACCTTGGAAGGCGGTTCGGGAACATGTTCTGGGCCTCCTGTTTTAAAGTGTTAAACCGCTTCATCATTTTCATCATGCGGAAGAATTCTACGTTTCTTGCGGTACACTTTTAGTGGGGTAGGAGAATCGGGCGCTTCTTTGGTTGAACTTGGTTCTTTTCTTTTGCTCTTTGTCTTTCTCCAATTTCTTTTCAGCAGATTTAGCCGCCGACTGTTGAGCCTCTTTTCCTCTTACTCTGTCCCTTACATCTTCAAATTTCTTCATTTTGGAGAGCATTCTTTCTCCAACAAACATAAGAGGTAGCATGATTTCGCGTAACTCATCAGGAATAGATAGTCTTAAAAACATGAATATTCTAGTGATAAGTGCACCATATGGAAGATGACCCTTATCCTTCTGTAATGCCCTGTACATATGGAATATGATGAGGTGAGGGAGAGAGAAGGATTGACCTTTTAAGATAGCCCAAATGAGCTTGACTTCGATTTTGAAAGGTCGAGTTTTTGAGGTATCTTTGGGCTTCAAGCATGGTTGATTATGATCTTATGCAAGATCACGGATCGTCTGGATAAGTCAGAATATGAGAGATGGCGCTTGGATCCTTGAGCAAAGTTTGGATTTTCAGAAGCCACCTGTGAAGTTTCTTCAAGATTCACTGCCAACGGAGTAAAATTGGAGTGTGTGGCTCCAATTATCCTTGCCAACTCATGCGCTTTTAAATCAACCTTCTTGTCACCAACAGTAAACTGAATCCAATTTGGTGACAGAATTGAAAGATTGGAATAGAAGTAGGCAGTTAATTCAGCATAAATATTGGCAGATTGAAGGCAAAATTCATAAATCCCTAACTTCTCAAACATGTGCTTTACAGAAATGCCAACCTTCTCCAGGTATTCGAAATCCACAGTCCTATTGTTCATTACTCCTCTAGCAAGTAACAACTTGTAGCACATGTGATGCGCAGTGCTTCTGAACAAACCTCTTGTTCCAGGCAAACCAAATGCTATTCCCACCTTTATCTCAAAAGTCTCAAAAAATGGTGCATCATCATCAGGAACAACAAATTTCGAGGCACTTGTGGACTTAGGGCTTATATGAACAGATTTCTTTTCGGAAGGAGTGGAAGTTTCTCCAACCTTTTCTTTGCCCTTTTGGAAGACGGTTACATTGGGATAATTTGTTGGAACTTTGTCGGTTTACAACAAAACTCGAGTAGGTTTCAACGAGATGTTCTTCGAGAGTAAATTATTATCTTTAAGACAGTCACGCGAGAACCGATTCGGAGGCATTGCTTCTCTTTAACGGTGATAAGCATTCCATATAAGCTTGATGCTTCGAAAACGAAAATTTGTTTTACCGGATGATTTTGGTGGCGACGATCACTGAGGAGGTGTTGCTTCAGAACGGTCTTCATGATGGTCGGATTCTGAGTCCTCCAAATATTCCGCCGGTGCTGTAGACTTTGAGTCTTGGTCGAGAATACGTGAAGATCTTCTACGGGTCACCATCTTGAACGGCATTATGATCACTTTTGGAGAGGAAAGTTTCGATCTTTGGAAGAAGAAGAGGCGAGTCTCTGAATATCGGAAGGGTTTTGAGAGTAAAAGATCGTACTGATAGGGTTTTGAAAAGAAGAGGACGGGTTTATAAAGGAAGTGGATAAGTTTTGGAAGGAAAAGTTACTTTTAGAAAATAAAAAGATATCCCAAGCAAGTAGGAAGAAAATATACTCTTTGAAGCTTAACCAAACATGATGATATCATAACAATATATTAAGCACAATTTATCGAGATAAATTAGAATACATACGATTTTGCTTCCAAAAGTAACGATTATAAAAATATCACACTGCCAAAAAATATACCCGCCAAAATTTGAATAAGGAACGTACCTTTCTTTGTGAGTTTGAAAAATGTTCAGACTGAGAATACTTGAGTCTGAAAAATTCCTGTCTATCAAACACTTCAAGAAAATGGATAAGTGATGCATAGTTTGTTTCTTATGAATTCAAATGAAGATTTATCAAGAGATTTTGTAAATATATCAGCTAATTGATTCTTAGAATCAATGAATTGAATATTCACATCACCTTTTTGAACATGATCTCGAATAAAGTGATGCTCGATTTCAATATGCTTAGCTCGAGAATGAAGAATGGGGTTCTTTGTCAAATTGATTGCACTTGTGTTGTCATATTTGATTGCAACACTTGATTCTTCAATAGCAAGAGTCTAGTAATTCTTTGCTTCATCCACAGAATACATGTTGACAACTTCCCAATGCTACATATTACGCCTTTGTAGAAAGTGCAAGTTGTATTTTGCTTCTTTGAGTACCAGGATACCAACATATTCCCAAGCAGTTGACATGTACCTGAAGTACTTTTCCTGTCCACTTTACATCCAGCTAAATCAGCATCAGAATATCCAGTAAGAGTAAAATTTGAATCTTTGGAATACCAAAGGCCTAACATTGGATATGTTCCAATGTATTTGATTATTCTCTTTACTGCAGAAAAATGAGATTCCCTTGGGTCTGATTGAAATCTTGCACACATGTAGACACTAAATAGAATGTCAGGTCTAGATGCAGTTAGATACAATAATGAACCTATCATGCTTCTATATACCTT